GGGGGATAGCTTGAGGCTCTGTCTCAAAATAAATAAATTAAATTAAATTAAATTAAAAAAGAAATATAAAATGTATAAAGGTATGGAGAATAGTATAATAAACATCTATATATCCACCACCTAGAGAAAAAGCATTAAAATGTCCTTTATTTTCTTTTGAATGATGATAATAGATGATAGTTTTTTCATATCCTTACTGTAAAAATAGAAAGTTGATAAACTTTTTGTATTACCAAAATTTTCTAAGAAGTTTCACTGTTAATATTATGAGAAATTCCAAAGTCTGAGAGCCATTGGGAAGTATTCATTAAAAATAATGTTACAGGCTTGGCGCCTATGGCTCAAGCGGCTAAGATGCCAGCCACATACACCTGAGCTGGTGGGTTCAAATCCAGCCTAGGCCCGCCAAACAACAATGATGGCTGCAACCAAAAAACAGTCGGGTGTTGTGGTGGGTGCCTGTGGTACCAGCTACTTGGGAGGCTATGGCAGGAGACTTGCTTGAGCCCAGGAGTTGGAGGTTGCTGTGAGCTGTGATGCCACAGCACTCTACCTAGGGGGACAGCTTGAGGCTCTGTCTCAAAAAAATAAAAGAAAAAAAAAAAAAAGAATGTTACATACCACTGATGGAGGAGCTATCCAGACCTAGATCCAGAGCAAACCATGCTTCATGCTGTTCAGAGCATCCAATCAGTACAGAATCTTCTATTCTTTTTGTATCCTGTCCAAATTTACCCAGGAGCCCTTTCAACTCTAAGAAACAGAAAGGAGAGGGAAGAAAGCAAAAAACAAAAGTTTCAATTGAATCACTACAGCCACATCAAGATTTGCATGAAATCATCTACTTCAGCGTAGAAGTAGGTACACTTGGCTTCTAGTCACTGCCCTGCAGCTAATATCTATGTAACCTTGGTCTCATCAGTTAAGCTCTCTAGGCCTCAGTTTCTCATCAGCAATCTGAGTTTAGACCAAAGAAGAAATTGTGTAACACTGCATTACCCTATGATTATACCATGAAAGGAATACATCCTCTAGTTAGTAAGATGCATATTTAACTTTTTTTTTTTTTTTGAGACAGAGTCTCACTATGTTGACCTCAGTAGAGTGCTGTCACATCACAGCTCACAGCAACCTCAAACACTTGGGCTTAAGCAATTCTCTTGCCTCAGCCTCCCACATAGCTGGGACTACAGCTGCCTGCCACAACACCTGTCTATTTTCTTGTTAAGGTTGTCATTGTTGTTTAGCTGACTGAGGCTGGGCTCGAACCCGCCAGCCTTGGTGTATGTGGCTGGTGCAGTAACCACTGTGCTGTGGGCGCTGAGCCCATAATATTTAATTTATTAAGGCAGTGAAACAAGTAACAATCACACAAAATGGTAGAGACCAATACAGTTCTATAATTAGGCTCCCAACTGTGCTACTTTTGTAGGCCAAAGTATAATATTCATCTGAGATCCTGGTCTGTAAAACGTAAGTCCTATGTTGGGAAAAAAACCTGTATTCTTGTTCATGGATAACTCGCATTTATTTGTTCATAATATAACATAATGTTGATAAATCTCTTAATAGTGTCTTCTGATAAAGTCCTCATAATCTTCTGCGCCTCTGGAAACTACCAATTCAAGTACTCCAACATCTGACCTCTAGGGGAAACTCGATAGCAAAACAGTACATTTTAGTGCTCACTTCAGCAGCACATATGCTAAAATTGGAACGATACAGAGATTATCATGGCCCCTGCACAAGAATGACACACATTCGTCAGGCAGTCCATATTTTTTAAAAATACATTTAAATTTTTTCTCTTTTTAAATTTGTATGGATACATAATAGTTTTATATCTTTATAGAGTAGGTGTGATATTTTGGCATACAATGTGAATGAATCAAATCAGAGTGATTGGGGTATCCATCACCTTAGCATTTATAATTTCTTTGTGTTAGGAATATTCCAATTCCACTCTTTAAGTTATTTTAAAGTATACCCTAATTTATTATTGATTTTAGTCACTTTATTGTTCTGTCAAACATTGTTCATTCTATCTAACCATCTAAATATATTTTTGCACCCATTAACCATTCCCATTTTCCAACGCTCCCTCCCCAGCTTCTGGTAACCATCATTTTATTCTCTGCCTCCATGAGATCAATTGTTTTTCATACTGAGCTCCCACATAGGAGCAAGAACATGCAAAATTTGTCTTTCTGTGCTTGGCTTATTTCACTTAACGTAATGTTCTCTAGTTCTGTCATGTTGTTGCAAATGGCAGGATTTTATTTTTATTTATTTATTTATTTATTTATTAGAGACAGAGTCTTACTTTGTCGCCCTGAGTAGAGTGCTGTGGCATCACAGCTCACAACAACCTTTGACTCTTGGGCTCAAGTCATTCTCTTGCCTCAGCCTCCCAAGTAACTGGAACTATACGCACCTGCCACAACACCTGGCTATTTTTATAGACAGGAGTCTTGCTCTTGCTCAGGCTGGTCTCAAACCTGTGTGCTCAATCAATCCACCCACCTTGGCCTCCTTAGAGGGCTAGGATTACAGGTGTGAACCACCATGCCTAGCCCAGGATTTCATTCTTTTTTATGGCTATGTAATATGCTATCATGTATATGTACCATATTTTCTTTTTTTTTTTTTTTTTTTATTTTAGACAGTCTCAAGCTTGTCATTTGTGGGTAGAGTGCTGTGGCGTCACAGCTCATAGCAACCTTAAACTCTTGGGCTTAAGCAATTCTCTTGCCTCAGCTTCCCAAGTAGCTGGGACTACAGGCACCTGCCACAATGCCTGACTATTTGTTGTTGTTGTTGCAGTTGTCATTGTTGTCTCAGCAGGCCTGGGCTGGGTTTGAAACTGCCAGCCTTGGTGTATGTGGCCAGCACCCTACCCACTGAGCTGCCATACCACATTTTCTTTATCCATTTATCCATTAGGTTGAATTTCAAATCTTGGCTATTGTGAATAGTGCTGCAATAAACATTGGTGTGCATATGTATCTTTCTAATATACTGAATTCCTTCTTTTTTTGGCCGGGGCTGGGTTTGAACCCACCACCTCTAGCATATGGGGCTGGCACCCTACCCTTTTGAGCCACAGGCACCGCCCTCCTTCTTTTGGAATATACCTAACAGTGGGATTGCTGGGTCATCTGGTAGTTCAATTTTAATTCTTTGAGGAACCTCCATACTGTTCTCCATTATGGCTGCATTAACTTACATTCCCACCAACAGTGCACAAGCGTTCCCCTTTACCCACATCCTCACCAGAATTCATTATTGCCTCTTTTTTTTTTTTTTTCTTGGAGAAAGAGCCTCAAGCTGTCACGCTGGGTAGAGTGCCATGGCATCACAGCTCACAGCAACCTCCAACTCCTGGGCTTAAGCAAGTCTATTGCCTCAGCCTCCCAAGTAGCTGGGACCACAGGTGCCCGCCACAACGCCCGGCCATTTTTTGGTTGCAGCCATCATTGTTGTTTTAGTGGGCCCAGGCTGGATTCGAACCCACCACCTTAGGTGTATGTGGCTGGTACCTTAGCCACTTGAGCCACAGGCGCCGAGCCCATTATTGCCTCTTTAATGAAAGGCATTGTAACTGGGGTGAGATGATATCTTGTTGTAGTTTGGATTTGCATTTCGCTGATGTTCATGGTGTTGGGTATTTCTTCATATACCTGTTGGCCATTTCTATGTCTTTTGAAAAATATCTATTCAGATCGTTTGCCCACTTTTAGACTGGATTATTTGATTTTTTTCCCATTGAGTTGTTGGAACTCCTTATATATTCTTACCACTAATCTCTTCTCAGATAAGTAGTATGCAAATATTTTTCCCCATTCCATGGGTTGTCTGTTTACTTTATTGTTTCCTTAGCTATATAGAAGCTTTTTAGCCTGATGTGCTTCTGTTTGTCCAATTTTGCTTTGGTGTGTCTGTGCTTTGGGGGTATTCCTCAAGAAGTCCTTGCCCAGAACAATATCCTGAAATATTTCCTCAATGTTCTCTTTTAGTAATTTCATAGTCGCCAATCTCATATTTAAGTCCTTAATCCATTTTGATTTGATTTTTGTATATCATGAGAGATAAGAGTCCAGTTTCATTCTTCTGCAGAGAGATACAGAGTTTTCTCAGCTCCATTTACTAAAGAGACTATCTCTTCCCCTCTGTATATTCTTGGCACCTTTGTTGAAGATAAGACCCCTATAGATGTGTGGATTTATTTCTGCGTTCTCTATTCTGTTCCCTTGGTCTATGTGTCTATTTTTATGCTAGTACCATGCTGTTTTGGTTACTACAGCTGTGTAGTATAACTTGAAGTCAGGTAATGTGATTTCCTCCAGTTTTCACTCAAGATGACTTTGGCTATTCTGTGTTTTTCCATATAAATTTTAGGATTATTCTTTCTATTTCTGTGAAAAGTATTTTGATGGGGATTACATTGAATCTGTAGATTGATTGCTTTGTGTAGTATGGACATTTTAACAATATTGATCCTTCCTAACCACGAGCATGGAATATCTATTGTTTTATGTATGTGTCCTCTTCAATTTCTTTACAGTTTCCATTATAGAGAGCTTTTACTTCTTTGGTTAAGTTGATTCTTAGGTATTTTATTTTATTTGTTGCTATTACAAATTAGATTACTTTCTTGGTTACTTTTTCATATTGTTTACTGCTGACATATAGAAATGCTACTGATTTTTATATGTTGATTTTGTATCCTGTAACTTTACTGAATGTGTTTATCAGTTCTAATAGTTTTTTGGTAGAGTCTTGAGGTTTCTCTAGATATGAGATCATATCATCTGCAAACAAGGATAATTTGCCTTCTTCCTTTCCAATTTGGACGCCTTTTATTTCTCTCTCATCTGATTGATCACTATATTTAGAAGTTAGTCAGTATATAGTGAGATCATATAGAACTGAAAGCATTTTGAATGCCAAATCCCAGTGGCTTTGTTATATCTAGCAATATAAGCTAAACAAGTTCTTTTTTTTTCA